CCCCAGCCTATCCACCCCTGTGGGGCATTGAGTGTGGCGCCGAACAAGATGTCAACGACGGTGGAGTTTTGAGAACCGTTACCGTGGAGTTTCCATGCAAACTCGGCCCCCAGAGTGCGTAATCTCTTGCATTCTGAGATGTTCTTTTGTTCTGCAAGTTTGAAGAAGGCTTCACTGCAGGGTTGAGCATTTGCACCGAAGGTAAGGGAGAGAAGGGTCAGTGTCAAGATCGTTAATGGCAATAAGGGTGAAGAAGGCATGCTTTGTTGTTGGGTTTTCATCTTCTTTTTCTGTTGGTGGTCTTTTTATATGAGCCATTTTCCTATATATATATATAAAGAGTATCTAGTATATCTGGTTTCGACATGACTTCTACTTGTGTGGAGTCTTTTTTGGTCATTTTAGTCTTTAGAAGGATCAGCCAGTACTGGCATGCTTCCCAAAGAGGATAAGAATTTACAACCTTCAAACTCACTTTTCACGCCTCAAGTGCGTCTTTTCCTCCCACCATTTCTTCAGAAATTGTCTCCTTAATTTAACAACATGGGACACTGATATCTCAATAGCCTCTGTTTTAATTTAAAAGACAATTTAAATATTTTTTCTATCCTTAGAAAAATAATACTCTTTGAAGATAATTGACCTTAACAATTTTAGAACAATTCCCATTTTTATTTTCTTCTCCATTTTATACATGTAATTATATATTATGTAATCTTCTCCTTATGTATATAGATATATCATAGACTTGCCTATAATTGTGTAGACGTTTGACATAACTTGGTGACCTTTAAACTCAAGTGAGTCTGCAATTAGATCCTAAAAGCCATGGTAATATTCAGAGAGCTCGACACTCGTGTATTGTGCAGCATTATTGCTTTAAAAAATAGGATCAACATAATTAACACAAAAGTAGAAACATATTATGCTTACGTGATCTGTAGGAAATTCTCTTCGATCACTTTCTGCTTTTTCAGGTAAATTCTGTGGAGTTATGACACTCCAGTTGTTGTTTACTTCCTTTCTTATTCTTATATTCGTTACTTATGACTCGGTCTCTAACATTTTGTTTCATGCTTCCGTCGAAAGTTTGCGCAGCGATGCACAAAAAGAGCAATCCATTTATTAGTCTCATTAGCACATTATCGTCATCAACCATTTTTTTCATCAAGTTCTCTTTATAACATTCACCTTTCAATGGCACTTTAAAATATTAATATTTTAATTTTTCAATTTTATTTATCTTAATTTATTTTATATTTTGAAATAGAATATTTTTTATCAGTGTCAATAGGAGTAGAGTGAAAAATATGCTATTTGTATATCATCACACTAACTAATTATAGAAAGACGGCTAAGATGTAAACAAGAAGGATTGATTACAATGTAAAAGACTATAGAGTGTACATATCTCAGATTTGGATAAATGAGGGCGTATGGTATTTGAAGTTCAAGTTGCACTCTAACGTTAGGTTAAAGTGCGGGTTAAGGGGGGTTTAAAATAAACGAGATAGGAGTAAAAAGTATAAATAAATAGTAGAACAGTAGTTAGGATATGATATATAAATTATATATAATATGCCTGTTTTTAGGGTACATATGTATCGGGTTTTAGTAGACAAAAGTACCCTTCTATAACATGGATTCTAAGTTTTAAGGTTAAGGGTATTTTAATAATTTTCATTTTCAAAACTAAAAAAAGAAAAAACCCAAACCGTTACTCACCTCTTTCATTTCTGTCAACCATTTCTCTTTCATCTCTCTCACTCCAACATTTTCTTTGTGATCCATACTGTAGTCCCAATTGCAAAAATGAGAAACACTTGTAGTTAAACAATCTTAAAAAAAGATTTTATCATGAGTTTTCATTTTATAATTTGTCTTATCTAATTTTATCCAATTTTCACAAGGCATAAAGGAATTGATAATTGACTTAGAAAAAAATCAGAAATACTTTCTTACAAAAAATGATTTTATAATGAGTTTTCATTTTATAATTTTTGTTTTATCTAATTTTCACAAACATAATGACATCAAAGGAATTGGTAGTTGGCCTCGAAAAAATCAGAAACACTCGTTCTTAAACAATTTCTTACAAAAAATGATTTTATAATGAGTTTTCATTTTATAATTTTTGTCGTATATAATTTTATCTAAAGCATAATAACATCCGAAAGAATTGGTAATTGGCCTGGAGGGTTTTTTTAGAAATGATGATTCAACATATACAGATGATGAAATTAGAGAGGTTAGTGAAGATGGTGAAATTGAAGAGATCTTGAATGAACCTTTGCCTGAAGGTGAATATGTCAATGACTCAATTCTTTACAAAGGTAAATTGTTTAACGACAAGTGTTTCTGATTTTTTCAATTGAGACTATAGTAGGTATGATAGAAAAAAGGTTGGAGTGAGAGATATGAAAGAGAAAGGATTGAGAGGAATGAGAGAGGTGAGTAAGGGTTTGAGTTTTTTTTTTTAATTTTGAAAATAAAAATTATTAAAATATCCTTAACCTTAAAACTTATAATTCATGATATATAAAAGTATTTTGGTCTACTAAAACTCGATACACATTGCTAAAATGTATCAACTGAAAAAAAAAATAAACATAAAGCGTTAGGCGAACCCCATATATATATATATATATATAATTTTATATCATTTCAGTCCTCTTTATTTATTTTTAAAGAATATATATATTACTCTTTAACGAAGACATGACATATGACATATCTACAAGATGCATATCTAGTTATCACTAATAATAATAGGGATAAATTTATAATTTATGAAAAATAAACTCAACAAAAATAAATAAAATACACCTTATTTACAAAATTAAAAGCAGATTAAAAAATTTTAATGTGTAAAATTGGGAGAGTTATAATAAACATACTTTTATGAAAAGATTTGTTCTTGGATGTAAATACTTTTATGGGGTAGCCTTTATTTCTCCAATCCTTGATTTTTTTTACTTTTTTATTAACTTACATTTAAGTCAAATATAATCTACGAATTCGAAGAAGGTAAGAACAACTTAATCATTTTGAAGGAAGCCACATCGATACTTGATTCCATGCGTTACAAGATTGTTATTTTTATTTTTTAAATAAATGATACATTTCAATAGACAAAATATGAAATAATTTATATCTTGGAATGTTATTTAAAGCAAATTTGACAAATTTGTCATTCATGCCATTATAATCACTAATAATCACTTATTATTAACATAGCATATTTTATTTGTCTGAATTCAGTCTCTTTTATTCTTTTCCAAGTAGATATTCGAATAAATATTTATTACAGTTTCATATTTAGTAATATTGAAAAGGAAACAGTAAGAATCTATTATAAAAATGGAAATTTATCTTAACATTTTTACTACAACTGAAGAATTTCTTGAATGCATTGGATTATGTATTTTGAGAGAATTTTCATTTTTTTTTTCTAATTTATGATTTTATATTTTCACTAGACATTATTTCTTTCTCTTACAAAAATATCTTTATTTTAAATTTATTTGAGTTTGTCTTCGTATTTTAATTCTGAATTCAATACTATATTATCCTTATTTATTGTGTTTTAGATTTTAAAATGTAAATAGTCTTTTGTCTATTATCTTTGCACATCTTACGAGTATAATTGTTGTTATCATTCTTACAAATAACATTTATATTAACATATTCTTTAATTATTTACAAAAGAAAATGCTTCATAAATCTGTGTAATAATATTATAACTATTTATTGACATTCGTAGATTGAGTTTATTTATTTTTTTCAAAAAATAATAACTTGCGAACTTTGACATAGGGTAAAGTTATTTGAAAAAAAAAATGATGAAAAAAATGACTAGTTACTCATACAAAGTATGTCTTCTCTTTTTTCTTAAATGAGAAATATTTCGTAAATTTTCGTCATGGAATAAGAATTTTACAAAAATATTCTGGTACGTCCTTTAGTTCGTAAATGATATTTATAAAAAAATAATTATCTTAATAATGAGTACTTATAATTCAAACCAGATTTCTATATCTAGAAATATCTTTCAAAATATGCATTTTAAAATATATTTTTTAAATACATTTTAAATTATACAATTTAAAATGATATTTTCAAATTCAAAAACATATTATAGAGTATGCATTTCAGAATGTAATTATTTTTAAAAACATTTGAGATGTATAATCTGAAAAGTATTTTCACATTAGAAATGCTTTCCAAAATATACTTTCCACATATACATTTCAAAATATATTTTTTGAATGCATTTCAAAATATACTTTCCAAATACATTTCAAAATATATTTTTTCAAAATATACATTTCATGAAAAAGGAAGAGTTGCAAGAAGAAACAGCCGAATCTTCAACAGCTATTTAGCTCTATTCAAATCACCATTTCCAGAACTATTATTCTTTTCCGTAACTTGTAGAACTTTGGAGATCGGTACGTGCCACTTCCCCAATTGTATAGAAAATGACTTGATCCTCTCTCCAACTACTTAATGTTTGTTTAGCCAATAAGTAATATTGTAATCATTTGGGTTATTTCAAAACTGATGAAATGTTTTCACATGATTCGCATATTGTTTCTGCCCTCATGCCAATTATAAATAAAAAATCAAAACAACACACTTTAGAATAATGTACCATTCCATCAAGATCCTCTAGGGTTATCAAACAACCGCAATCCTTATGGCTTGTATTTTATATCTATATCCATTACCACAGAATCCGAAGTAAACTGAAATGCACTAAGCCAACGTATATCCATTGTTTAATGGCAAAGATATTCAACTCTGTATGAAGTCTAATTACACGTATAACAAGAACATATGCATATCATGCTCAAGATAAAAAAAATGTCACTCTTTTCAGCACATAAGCATACACGACGCATGTCCATGTTCAAAATCTTCTGTTAAGGTTTTGCAAGGAAATGAAACTGTTTGAATGTGAAATGTCTCAATAAGGAGAGAAAAAAAAGAAGTCAAGCTTCACCAAATAAATCAGTTTTTAATTTCTTTCATGCATACTTCGAACACTTGATAGCCACAAGAAGAAAAGTTTGGTGTTCCAAAATAAATCATTCTCACAGGCTCTACGAATCTGTCTTACAATAACTACGAGTGATAGTAATCCACACTATAGTCCAAAACAAAATCAGCTCAATAACAAAATGCAACTAAACAAAATAATGTTTATAAAATTCCTTACCCGAATAGAGAAGAAAAAAAACCCTCGTCAATAGAGTTTTGCCATGCGTCAACAAGGGAAAATTAGCATATGCTGTGAATTGAAATAGAAGACGATAGGGTTTGCGATCAATGGGTTCTCCTTGAGAGAAGTTGCTACCGAAGCTCGTCACTACAGTTTGTGAGCTTCCCAGATGAACTAAGTGTTAGTCAACCATTCAGCACACAATGTGTATCAGGTTGAGGTGCACAAAGAAAATGATCCGAACTCAGCCTTGCTGTTCATAAATCTGCATATAAGTTTCTGATAGTGCGACCAAATGAGGAAGCGTTTCGGAGACATGCAAATCCTGCATCTCGTACCTAAAGAAACAAGATCTTAGTCCTCATCTTTGTTGTACATCCATAAATCCGTTCAAATTTATGGAGATTTTTTATATTATCGAGAAATAGAACTTACCATAGTTCTTCTGATTTGCGTTGTACAAATACCCTATACAAACCCTCACCAGGTTTGCCATCATGAACAACATTAGCAATTAAATCATATTTAGATCGCAATTTCTCATTTTCTTTTGGTGTTGGCAAGGGAATGTAATCCTTCAACTCCAGGTTCTTCACAGGAAAGTTTACTGAAGCACGTATAGGGTGAAGTTAGAAGTATGCGGGTGTTAACTTGAACAAATTACAGCACATTGAGACATAAATTCTTACCTAATGTGGGATTCTTTTCCACAAAAAAATTGTTCTTAGTAAACCTCCGCATGTGAAGAATCATATACTTGGGCAATCTGGTAACTCGATATTTCATCCTTGCTATATGAGGACGGACCACCTCTGTGATAGTTTCACCATCAAACTTCTTCAGAATGTTAAAGAGTGGAACCTAAAAATCAAGCCTTATTAGCAGGCAAGTAGGAAATAAAAGACAGATAGAACTTCAAAATAAAAAGCTATAAACATAAAAACCAAAACTCAAGTTAACAAGTGGAAATGTGGAATTGCAAATTGAACTAATTATCCTAAATTTAAAGGGAACTCTACCATTTTTCCTTTAAAGCTTTACATCATGCCACCTGGACTATAATCGTTAGGGGGTATGCAAAATAATTTCAGGTGTTCATTGTACACAAAACATATCACTGGTTCGTGGGGAGGAGAGTCATTAGCCCAATGGTATTTGCAGATATTTTGAAATGAATGCATCAACTTACCTTATAAGAAGATGGGATTTCAACTACAAAATACAAACGGGTGCACTGGTGGTTCAAATTAGATACATTTGTGAACAGAAATAGTATTCAAAATTTGTCTCCCCAGTCATTTTTAGTGTTTACACAAATTCTTGGGAGTTTTTCCACAAGGAGAATGACTATAATATTTGTATATAGGCTTTAAAGATGAGTTGTATGGGAAGTTGAAAGCTCACGACAAGAATCAGAACAAGTGTAGATCAACCGAACAGGGTCTTCTCATGGCAAGGGATTTTATTGGAACTGAGACTAAATACAACTAGGAGCATGTTTACTAATGGGAATGTAATGAGGAATCTGAATTACATTAAAAGAAACAAAGAATACAGTTCTTACTAACATTTCACACGGAAAATAAGATAAATCATTTTATACTGGCTATAACAAAATGTGCTGAAAAAAATGAAAAAAGAGCATTTATTACACTAGACTCTAGAGTCTTGGTTCTAATTCCATAAAAATGTGTAGATCATGCTGCTCATATGATTATTCAACACACTCCCTCATAAAACTCAGGGACAATATTAAGTTTGTATAGTTTAGATGCAAGCGGAACTTGAAGGTTATTACTTGTATCATGGACCACAAAGAGTCATTGGTCAAGTTCAGATGTTTTGTTTGAACTATGAATTTTCTTCTATCCAATTATTTTGTCAAAATCAATGCATGTATGAGTAATGCCGAAAACATGAGAAAATCATTGTAAATCAATAATTTGGATTATTCATTCAAGTCTTCTAAATTAAAACATGCATTATATGAAACAAAATGTATGTGTGTATAAGTTAGATAGTAAATAGCGTATTGGCAGCCAAGATGTAGTCCATAGCACATAATTTAGCTCTTAAATAATGTTTTAAAAGTTAGAATAAGTTACCAGCATTGATGTTAAAATATCCTTACGTACATTAATATCCACAATTTCTTTATTTTTACAAGTCTCTCGGGTATAACAGTCACAGAAAAATAACAAGATTTAAACTTCAAACTAGATCACCTTGAGGTATTATCAACTATAACACCTCATGCAACAAGGACACTAGCATTGGTGCAGTAGTACCTGTGGTATTATATTTTTTTCCATCACATCCTTGAAAAGAGGAGGTGGTGGCAAGTCCAACCCCAACATTAGAAATGGCATTTTTGAAGTTTCTTTGACAAATGCGTATCGCTCATTTACCCCATCCAAAAGTTTCTCGGCATTGTTTTGGTCTTCGTTGTTTTCTTTCTTATCAATTGTACCTTTGTTAGGAATCTCTTTCACAACCTCAAGTTCACCCTGTAGCACAGTAAAAACAACATACAACTTGTGAATAGCTGCAGCCAGTAACAGCATGTCAACCAAAGAAAGGAAAATTGGAGTGGATAAAAAAGAACCTGAAAACACTCATAGATTATGCTGGTATTCTTTTTTGATGTCTTAAGATCTGCATGTAGAGTATTAAGCAGCCATGACATGAACTCAACTGGGTCAGATTGTGCACCTATCCTAAACCTTTTCTTGCTGGCTTTCATCACTGCTTGTAGAAACTCGTGAGGGCTGACCTGTTGGCATGCATCTTGATAGACAAGTCACTACCGAATTAAAATAATATAGTATACAATGAATTTATAAGAAACAAACCTGTCCTTTAAAGTTCCGTGCATGCCATATTTTCCTAGTGAGTTCACCAAATCGATGAACAAGTGGAGATTTACAGTGTTGATAATTTTCAGGGATGAGGAAAAAATTCCTCAAGGGGGTAACTCTCATTAACGATTGAATCGTTACATTCACAAAATCAGTCTCCTTGATATTATTAAGTCCCACCTGAAAAGTCAGTATAATATATAAATGTAGGCCATAAAACACCAAACAACCTTTTTATAATATTAAAAATTTCATTTTTGTATGCATGAAAAATATACCATTCCAGGAAGGTAACTAGAACCATCAAGTGCCCTAGACCACTGCTTATTTTTGTCAAGTTGTTCAACTTCTTTTCCAGTGAATCTGCATATAGAGAGAACAGTATGAATGCCCCTAGACCATGCATTTTAATAGACAATGGGGATCAGTTAAAATAATTGAAGGTAACGAAAAAATAAAATAGCACAAAATCATATACGATAATGATGATGACAACTTTACTATGGGTGAATAAATATTTCTGTCATTCTTAATTAGAGAAAAATTGAAGCTTGATCTTTTAAGGTGACAGCAAATTGCTGATAAACATCATACAAGCAATTTGGCACATCCACAGGCAGAACAAGGAAGATAAATTATGACAACAGGAAAATCATGAAGATGCTAAGAAGAAAACTGAATTTATTGAGAAAAAACTCATGACACATAATACAAAGCCCAAACCAATTGCTTATAAAAACAAAAGCCCTTGTTTAATTAGTTTATTATGAAGAGAAAGATGTAACATCAGGGAAATAAATAAGGGTAAAGGAATTATTCTTCATACCACCATGCGAAATAAATATTTTGTTAATTGATACATAGAAGGGATTGCAAGGTCGGCCTGAACAGTAGAGCAAAACCCCTACCTACCAGTTAGATGTTTTGTACAGGGATTGTTCTAGTTGAGAGCTTGCTGTTGGCCCTACCATAGAGTGGATGGGGATACATTTAAAACCAGGGAGATCCAACTCCTATCTATTCATAAAGTGTCCAAGCTAAGGCTTAAATCTTAGAACCTCACAAACTGTGTTAGCAGATGACAACTTCAACCACAATCCTTGGTGTTAAGTTTATAATAGACTTCGAAGGTCCATAGCATAAATTTTGAGCTATCAGAGTGAATAAAAATCACTTTTCTGGGGGAAAAATGGTAAATAAATACTCCAACCAGCTAACAGCAAGTGACATAAATTGTACAGAAGATTATAGTATCAATATAGTCACCAGCCAACAGCTGATGACCATAGAAACAGAGAGATATTGCTAAAATGTTTTCTGCAGCAAGCACAGCCAAATAAAAAAATTAGACTAACCTTGGATTTAAGACATGCCGAATGTCATCTAATGAAGGATCATTAATTTCATAACCATCAGGAAGACAGTAGACTTTTTCAGTGCGGAGATTGATATAAACATGGTGCCCTGCTTCCAGACTATGTGTATATGCATGAGACTTCTTCCCTCTCCCTTGGTAATACTTCCCGCAAACCAAACATGCATACACATTCAAATTCGATAGGGAGACAGAACAGAATTTTTCAAAGTCAAAATCCAAAACCTGCGTGCATAAATGTCATATAAATTCAGATATGCATGAAAACCAGTAAAATTACTGTCAACGATGGACAAGATAAGACAAATACCTGTCTATTAACAGTATCAAGATAAGGACAGTCCTTCCGAACCTCAACATGGCGACTGTTTCTTCCACTAAATAATTGTTCATGTGAATCATCTTCTTCATCACTATCATCGGCTTCTCTATATCTATGCCCATTGTGCTGGGACCCATCATTCCTACTCTCATTAACAGAATCCCTTTCCCTTCGAACATATTCTTCCTCCTCATCGATGTCAGCATAATTATTAGCTAACCCAGAAAGTGGATTCGCAATGGAGACTGGAGGAGGAGAGGGAGAAGAATCCTCATCCAGCTTCTGCCTTTTCGATTCATTATCAAGCCCTTGATCATTTACTCTATGATCAACTTCCCTTTCCCTTTTCGATGTCATGCTCTCTCCTAAAGCAGTTTGAAATCAATAGCAGAAAAAAGCTTAGTTAAAGGGTAAATGTAGGACATTAAACTTCAAATTCAAATCACCTATAACTATAAGCACTAATAGAAAGATAAAAATAAACACGCAACATGGACAGCAAGACAACAAAATGGTAAGTTTCTCTTTTATCTAACGAAAGGGCCCAAATGGAGCAGTGAAAGAAGCTACAAATACTGTGGCTACTACAAGCACACGAATAGTATCTGGTATCAAATACCACGCCTAACTTGTACAGCTTGGGTCAGTACCTCCCAATGCCCCAATTCTATCAAAAAATGACTAGATCTTCTCTCTCTATCTCCCCTTATATTTATAGACAACATGCCTTATTTCTTTAACCATGGAACCTACTAATTAATGGGTATCTACTTTATTTGTTTAACCAACAAGTAATAAAGTAATCATTTGGACTGTTTAGATTGTTCCAAAACTGATGAAACGTGGTCAAACAATGCGTAAATTATTTTTGACCTCATGCCAATTATAAATAAAAAGCGAAATACTACACTGTTTAGAATAATGTACCATTGGACCAGGATTCTCTAGAGTTACAAAACAAGTGCACTCCTTCTGGCTTGTGTTATATCTATATCCATTAGCACAGAATCCGAATTAAACTCTAAAAAATACATTAAGCCAAAGTAACAATGACATTTAACTCTGTATGAAATCTAATCACACATAGAACAAAAACATATGCATATCATGCTCGAGAAAAAAAAAATCACTCTTTTCAGCACATAAGCATGCACGAAGCATGTCCGTGTTCAAATTCTACTCCTGTTAAGGTTTTGCAAGGAAATGAAATTGTCCGAATGGAAATTGTCTCAATAAGGAGAGAAAAAAAGTCAGGCTTCAGCAAACAAATCAGTTTTCAATTTCTATCATGCATACCTTCGAACACTTGACAGGCACAAGAAGAAAAAAGTAAGGTATTCCGAAATAAATCGTCGCTACAGGCTCTACGACTAAGTTTTACAATTCAAAACAAAAATCCGCACAATAACAAAATGCGACTTAACAAATAATGTTAATAAAATACCTTACCCGAATGAAGAAGAGAAAAACCTCTTGACAGTACGCGTCACAAACAAGGGGAAATTAGCATATGCTGTGAATTGAACAAAAGGCGATAGGTTTTGAGACCTATTGGTTCTCCTTGTGGGAGATGTTTCTGAATGCAAGCTTGCCAATGAAGGAGTTTTAGGAAGGTCCTAGAACAAGGTTTAGTGAAAACTGAAAAAGGGTCACTTTGATGTAAGATAATCTAAGATCAAGCATTTTAAGGTTCCCTGGGAAGCTATTTAAGGGTTAAAATATTTTAAGGTCGAATCAATTATCTGAATTAAAAAATAAATAAAAATACATCAATCTAATATTTGTCTATTGAATTTAATGTCATTCATCTTATAATTTGCCATCTGAAAAAAAAATAATTTAACCCCTCTTTTATACACATAATTTCTTACAATTTTCACTTTTATATTTTGCAATTGTTTTTTATGTACATTTTATTTTATTTTTAACTGAATTATTTTGACTATTAACATTAGTACTTATAAAATTTATCCAATATAAAATTATAAAAAAATTAACAAGATTAATTTGTTTTTACAACTATTTTTCCTTAACATGTTTTTATAATTTTAAAACCATTATTATATAATTATTTTTATATCTTTTATTATCATAAAAAAATGAATATACGGTTACATGGGGTATATTTCACTGGTAGATTATAAATTGTGTTGGTTAATTTTGCAGTTAATTGAGTAAAAAACTGCTACGTTCCCTATTTGAAAATAGAAGATTTTGTAATCAGAGTAAATTAAATTAAATAATATACATATACATAAATAATACAATTCAAAAGGGTAATTAAGTAAAATTCAGACTTAGTTAATTTGTTCACCTAGTCACATTGATCTTGCATTTTCCTTGTCTAAAGTAACTGCGAAAAGCAAAGACAAAACCCGAACAGCTCTTCCCTCTCTCGTTGTTGAATGCTTCCATGGAGTTCAGACCTCGCAATTACAGTGCCGAGCTTGAATCTCACGCCCTCCCTCGCGTAACCGCCGCTGCTCATCCTTTGTCTGCTTCACCTCCGTCTCCACCTCTCGCCCAGGTCCTGCTCATATCACAACTTCTTTCGCAATGTTTTTTCTTCTATTAACAGTTACGGTACCTTGACCGAGGAAAAAGGTGATCGTGACTATGCAAAATCAGTGCCGCTTTCACTGTTCCGATTGCATAAAAAAATATAAGATTTAGTTCTATCAACCTGAAATAAGAACATGCCTAGGATTTGAATCCTTCAGTTAAATTAATTTCTATTGTTCCTTCCTCGTTTAGAAGCCTTTATTCAATTCAATGTCGTACAATGGTTCGAAATCGATGTTGTTGAGCCGAGTGATATGATCATATGGCTAAAATATGATGTAATCTGGATAAAGATTTAAATGATCTTTGTCATGAATTGCAAGTTATTAGCATGCATAGTACTAAAATAATGCACTAAAAGCTGGGGAAAGAGGGTGAGGGCGGGACCGGTAAGGATTTGATTTAGTTACTACAATTTAAGACTTAGTAATTTCTGTTGATTTGCTTAATGAAAATATTTGTTGACTTGCTTGAAGTGAAAGTGTTCAAAAGCTCCGTGGTTATGTTTTTTAAGTTGGTTTGTGACCTCAAAATTTTACATATATTTCACTTTCGACAATATTCATTTCTTTGTTAATATTCTCAATTTAGGTTGATTTTGTAGATCGTGGGAACAGTGATTTTTTTGATCCACTGAGAGGAACTGATAATGATGCAAATGCTGCTGCTCCTGATCATGACAACCTGAATGAATCTTCTGATCTTCAACCAACGAAGGAGTGGACCTCTTTCAGGAGATTACTAATGCAGAGGTTTCCTGTCTCCAAGATGGTTTCAGTTTCTTCAGTAAGTGCTACAGTATTTTCTTATTTCTTGTTTAAATAAGAAACTGTACTACATATTTTGTGGTATCTAAGATGGCTGAGAGAAAATAAAGTATGGAGCATTTAGAAGCATGTCAGTATGAGACTGCAGACAGTTCTTATTGGCTTTGAATGTTCTTAATTGTCATTAGGAGTATATCAGTTTAGACAATAGATGTGAGATTTGACAATTTAGATTCTTTGTTGTGGCTAGCTAGCGGAAAAGCTGGACATTTTCTGTTTGGAAAACTGTAGAACTGCATGATACTGTTTTATTGGTTTCCTTGCTATTAAGACATTGTCTAATTGTCTGCATTGGTGGATATTAATTATTATATACTTTTAATGAAGAGGTGTATCCGGCTGGAGTAGAAATCTTGACCATGATATTACTAATTATTCAACTATTTGGTAGTACCCTTAATATATTTGTTAGTACCCTTAGTTGTTTTTTTCGCCTTCAGCTATAATTGAGCCTGGGTATGGGCATTGCTGTGATTTTTCATTTGAATTGCCAGATAACACTGCTTATGAGCCATCTAGCAGATGCTTTGTTGGAAAATTTTCACAAACTTTGAAATGCTCTTATAAATTGTAGGATATAGCAGTTAATTACTGTTAACATCTATAATTTTTATTGTGCAATTGGCAAATATAGTATTGTTAGAGGGTAGGTCTTAATGTGAGCATTGGCAAATAATCCTTTACATTCTAAAACCAGTTTTGATCCTTTATTTTAACCCTTTTAGTTTTTCGTTATAATTATCTAATTATTTTTTCTTTAAATTACAGATGCCCGATGTTTTAATGAGAAGTGGAAAATGTATGTCTATACCTTTACATTGTTTTTACTTTTGTAATATCCTTTATTTATCTTCACTTAGTTATGTGACATCCCAATTTTCAGTACATGAGAAATCTTCAACAGCAATGCATTTGGAGGAATTGGACGATCCACAAAAATTTGCAGATGAGGGTGTCAAGACTATTACTTGGCAGGAGTATGTTTCTCGGCTACATGAGCTCAAAGATGAGATTACTCGTTCTTGGCAAGCTGAAGACAGGGTGACATCCTTAAAGTTATCAATAAAGGTAAACTTCAATGTATTTACTAATTTATTTTTAACATTATAGTTTGTACTCTGAAATAACCTTTTTGGTTATGAAATCATGAAAAATACATTTTTGTTTTATAGTTAGTTCATTCTGCTAGATATGATTTTATGTATGATTGTTGTTTAATTGATTGTCTTGAAGGTTTTGTCTCATTCGTTGATTGATGTTTGGTTTTGTTGAGTGATATTTAGTTTCTTTAGGTGCTGTATTAGAATCTAGGAAAATCTTAGATGCTGCTTTTATTATTGTCGAGGTTGTTGATCATGTTACTTGAAGCATGGAGTTTTGTTGCAAAATTATATTTTGAAAGGTGCTGTGTTTGATTTTTATGATTCTTACCAAGAAAGGTTTTGGCAAGATATTGAATGACGTACTAACTTATATTCTTCTGGTGAGTTGTCTCTGCCATCATTCAAGAGAACCTCATGCTTGATCTAGAGGAGTAAAAAGTGGTCATATTAAGTGTTCAAATATGTCTTTGGGATTTGTGCAGGTTTCTCATTTACCATTTTTGTTTTTTTATTGTAGCCTTGTAGGTTTATGCCCATGGTTTTCCCTTTATTAGATAGTTTAGGGATTAATCAATTTGTATTTTCTTTTCTTCCTGTACTTTCTTCACTCTTAGAAATATTTTATATGCCAAAAAGAGTACAAATGTTGTTTAATTTTGTTTAACAATAATTTAAAATATAAGGGACTTTGAGAGAGGGCTCTACCCATTTGAAATATAAATCATTTTATACTTAGTTTTGAAGTAGGAGTGAAAACATACTGATTTATTTTCATTTATTGTCTAAGTTTATCTTGATTTTGATTGATTATGAAGGTCTAAAACAGATTATACTGTTTGCAGGTTGCTAAGCTTCTGTTGGATACGTCAGTACTTGAGTTTTATCCTACGCTTTTTGTTCTTGTCACAGATATCATGGATATGCTTGGAAACCTGGTTTGGCAACGCATAAAGCGAAAAGCTGAGTTTTCTGAAGATGGAACTTTGCGCTGCAGCTTAGCAGGTCTTTTGTTAATTTGAAGCTCATTCACTATGGCTCTTATGCTAATAATGGTTTGACGTGGCATTTTTTTCATGCTAATGTTTTGAAAACTAAGGATTCTGTGTTTTAATTTATTAATGCATGTTAGTTCCTTAAAAGTCTGATAATAGGGATTGTAAGGATTGCAAGGTGATTTCAGGAGAAAGTGTTACTACACAACATCCTGTTGTGCCAATGCTTGCCCTGAAATACATCTAAATATTTAATCCTAATAAATTTGTACATTTAGGAAGAAGAATATATAACAAATAACATACAATACTTTGTGCATGTTAAACTATAAGTACTACTTTCTCAGCTCATGTTAATAATGGGTGGTCAGATATTTGGTTTAAGGTCACAGTCAATCACTGAGTTTTTGTTTGAGTGGGATGCTTCCAGCCATGTTGCATCTGGTTCAACAGAACTGTTACTGTCATGATACTTAACCAGACTAACCAGAAAACCATTTAATTGAACTACTTTGACCAGGCTCTTGTAATATAAATATTTACAAATATTATTATAATAACTTAATTAAGTTTTAAGTCCCTTATAAATTTGGATATTTTTAATTGATCCCTATTAAATATTTTTTTTATATTGAGTACTCAATTTTAGATTTTTGAATTGAGTCCCTTCAATTTAATTTTTCCGTTACCTGAGTGGCGCGTAACTGTTATCTTGTCCGTCATCTTGCTTGTTTGTATCCATGTGTTAAGAAATGTAACGTTTGTGTTTAATATAAAAGGATATTGCTCTTAATGTAAAACTATAAGTGACTTTTTGTTGTTTTTATTGAGAATGTGTTGGATAACAAGATCGTCATGCTCCTGTATTCTTCTACATCATCATTACCTACATTGACCAAGGGTTGATTGTCATCTCTACCATAATGTAGATGAGACAATAGTCCCTTGTTATCTAACATATTTTAAATGAAAGCAATAAAAGTCACTTGTCATTTTTACATTAACAGTGATATCTTAATATAAAAGCTCACATTTCTTGACACATAGAGACAAGCAAGCAAAATGACTGGGCAAATTGTTATCCACATCACTCAATTAACAAAAAATTAACGACAGACTCGATTGAAAAATTTAGAAATTTTGAGTAATCAATAATAGACAAAATACAATTAATAGACTCAATTGAAAATATCCAATTTGTGAAAGACTAGAAACTTAATGAAGCCTATTATAATTTATGAAGAACTTCTTTTGATGCAAGGCCTAATTGTTTCTAAAATGGCAGAAGTACCAATATTGCATGGGATTGGATACAGGTATCTGATGCAATACACAAATGTAATGTTTTTTTTAAATGAAGCAATGGGTATGCCAATTTATATTAAACAAAATTTGGATGTTATACTTGTTAAGAAATTAAAATGAAATTTATTGTTGTACGAATCTTATCCCATCACAAGTTCCATTGGCACTTCCCCTACATGTTCCTGGGTAATTATTTTGAGATTGGCCCACACTTTTACCATAGTGGACAAAGAAAGAAAGATATACCACAAATGTGAATGCCATTCTATTAGAGTATTGTTATCTACATCAGATAAGTATGTGATTATATATGCCAACATGTGGGAGTATCCTTGCATCATTGAAAGGTTTATCCATTAGAGGGACATCATAATTAGTAATTTATTATAGCCTCACAGATATAAGATGAATGATTGAAAATATGTTCACTGGGATATCCTAACTGCAAAAGGGTTTTCACCATCTTTAATATCAGACTCGCTGAATATTTTCTTTCTGAATCTTGTTTATTGGAACTAATTTGTACATGTCATACAAGCTTGATGATCTGCATGAGATTGATGGATCTCATAAAAGTCACATTATTTTTCTTAAATGATTTATTTGAATCTTGTAGAAAACTTTCAAGCAAGGGATATTTGTGCTGATGCCAAAGAAACTTGCTATAACTGGTTTAGCAAAATTGGTGCTGTGCAAGAGCTTCTTCCACGCATGTGAAGACCTTATCTTTGTCCTGTATTTAATTATTCCTTACGTTTTTCCACTAAAGTTATTTGTCTTCTCTTTCAGCTTATGTTGGTTTGTAACTTTCTGATGCCATGTTTACCTTTAGTTTCTTCATAATCACAGTTATAATTTTCTACGAATTCACTTTGAAAGACACATTGCTGTGATCTCTCTAAATTCACAGCCATCTATAATTATATTTCCATAATCTCAAAGCTAAGCCTAAATCCACTTCAACAAAGAAAATCACCTTGTTACAACTAGGCTACAAAAATTATATTTTTGGATGAAGCACAGCCTTGTTATATGTAAAAACCATTCGTCCATGGGCCTTGGCCTAGGTGCCTAACTGCTTATGCTTTTAAGATAATTTGGTTCTTGATATGCTATTATATGTCTTTGATCAGGTGTTCAGTACTCTGCCCTTTAATTATTTCTCTTCCACTCTTAATTAAATTATAATTTCAGCATATGATTTTAGTAGGCTGACTGGTGGCGGTGGTTCATCCATGATTCTATACAGATAGGACTTTAGTTGGGGTGTTGTAGTGTGTCAAAAAGAAAAGCAATCAAGCCCATTAAATAGCAGCTTAAGCTTTTGTTATGATTAGGTTTCAGTTCGAAATTGAGACTACAGAAGGTAAATAGTTTTAAAATACATGAGTTTTAATAGTAAAAAGTTAGACAGGCTATGTGTAGAATATTTATGGGTTACTAGTAATATGGAGTTACCACTAGTTTGCAGATATTTGCTTTGTTGTGGGGTGACTTTAGTTGGAACCTTTTATATACTGTTAATACAGTGAAGATTAGGTTTAATGTGACAACTGTCAAACACTTTGTCTGTCAATATTGCTTGAAAATTTGCTACGGAATAGACCTTTCTTCTGAAAAGTTTGAAAGGTTTTGCTAATAACATTTGAAAGGCTGTTGCCTGGAAGAATGTTCTCTCTGACGGTGTTTTCTGAATGGATATCTGAAATTGTACTAGTTACTTGGAGCTGGCAATTTTGCCTTGCTGGTGCTTTCTGCTTGACCAACCTTTAGACAGCCTCCGGCGATTGGTAATGATGACCAGAGGATTAGGAGATCCAGTGGCATCTGCGTATTGCCGTCTTTATATGGCTCACTGTGCTCAGAAGTTACCTTCACATGATATAGGTATTTTTTTTTCTGATATTATATGTGTATCCTTAGGATGTGTAAAACATGTACACTGAAACAGAGGTGCCCTTTTTTTTAACTGATAAAATAAATCTTTTTGTTTCCAAACATGTTTTGGTCTAACCTTTACGAATGCATATTTGCATATGCAATTGTTCATCACTATGATTCACATCGACATGTATTCCATACACCGATTCATCTCACCTTTGAAAATATAGGAGATGAAATGTTGAGATATGCTTAAAGATATATGCATATATACAGTTCACAAAATAAAACAAATATTACTATAGCTTTTTTAAAAACCATATGAAAAAATTATTAAATATTTTCTAAATGTATACATAAATAGTGAGCGAGAATTGTTTTTATCCATATTTGTTGTCACAGTGTTTTCTTTTTTTATTTATGTGTAACTCAGATCAAATCCTGAAAATGGTTTCATGGAATAAATCATAAAAATTATATATTTTATGTTTGTTTAATGTTTGGAATAATATAAAAAATAAAAACAATGGTAGTTAAACACTAAAAAGAAAAAAATGGCTATAGGAAAAAATTGTGACTGTTATATATATTAGTTGAATGTTATATCGGACTCTAGTTTAGGAAAATCGGGTAGGGTTGTGTTGTCTTATACAACATGGATAATAAAGTCTTACCCAAAGGACAATGCAAATTCATAAAACATGATTGTTAGCTGTACACCAATAAGCAATAGTGTTAGCTTCATAGCACTTTTTCTTATCANAGGAATTGGACGATCCACAAAAATTTGCAGATGAGGGTGTCAAGACTATTACTTGGCAGGAGTATGTTTCTCGGCTACATGAGCTCAAAGATGAGATTACTCGTTCTTGGCAAGCTGAAGACAGGGTGACATCCTTAAAGTTATCAATAAAGGTAAACTTCAATGTATTTACTAATTTATTTTTAACATTATAGTTTGTACTCTGAAATAACCTTTTTGGTTATGAAATCATGAAAAATACATTTTTGTTTTATAGTTAGTTCATTCTGCTAGATATGATTTTATGTATGATTGTTGTTTAATTGATTGTCTTGAAGGTTTTGTCTCATTCGTTGATTGATGTTTGGTTTTGTTGAGTGATATTTAGTTTCTTTAGGTGCTGTATTAGAATCTAGGAAAATCTTAGATGCTGCTTTTATTATTGTCGAGGTTGTTGATCATGTTACTTGAAGCATGGAGTTTTGTTGCAAAATTATATTTTGAAAGGTGCTGTGTTTGATTTTTATGATTCTTACCAAGAAAGGTTTTGGCAAGATATTGAATGACGTACTAACTTATATTCTTCTGGTGAGTTGTCTCTGCCATCATTCAAGAGAACCTCATGCTTGATCTAGAGGAGTAAAAAGTGGTCATATTAAGTGTTCAAATATGTCTTTGGGATTTGTGCAGGTTTCTCATTTACCATTTTTGTTTTTTTATTGTAGCCTTGTAGGTTTATGCCCATGGTTTTCCCTTTATTAGATAGTTTAGGGATTAATCAATTTGTATTTTCTTTTCTTCCTGTACTTTCTTCACTCTTAGAAATATTTTATATGCCAAAAAGAGTACAAATGTTGTTTAATTTTGTTTAACAATAATTTAAAATATAAGGGACTTTGAGAGAGGGCTCTACCCATTTGAAATATAAATCATTTTATACTTAGTTTTGAAGTAGGAGTGAAAACATACTGATTTATTTTCATTTATTGTCTAAGTTTATCTTGATTTTGATTGATTATGAAGGTCTAAAACAGATTATACTGTTTGCAGGTTGCTAAGCTTCTGATGGATACGTCAGTACTTGAGTTTTATCCTACGCTTTTTGTTCTTGTCACAGATATCATGGATATGCTTGGAAACCTGGTTTGGCAACGCATAAAGCGAAAAGCTGAGTTTTCTGAAGATGGAACTTTGCGCTGCAGCTTAGCAGGTCTTTTGTTAATTTGAAGCTCATTCACTATGGCTCTTATGCTAATAATGGTTTGACGTGGCATTTTTTTCATGCTAATGTTTTGAAAACTAAGGATTCTGTGTTTTAATTTATTAACGCATGTTAGTTCCTTAAAAGTCTGATAATAGGGATTGTAAGGATTGCAAGGTGATTTCAGGAGAAAGTGTTACTACACAACATCCTGTTGTGCCAATGCTTGCCCTGAAATACATCTAAATATTTAATCCTAATAAATTTGTACATTTAGGAAGAAGAATATATAACAAATAACATACAATACTTTGTGCATGTTAAACTATAAGTACTACTTTCTCAGCTCATGTTAATAATGGGTGGTCAGATATTTGGTTTAAGGTCACAGTCAATCACTGAGTTTTTGTTTGAGTGGGATGCTTCCAGCCATGTTGCATCTGGTTCAACAGAACTGTTACTGTCATGATACTTAACCAGACTAACCAGAAAACCATTTAATTGAACTACTTTGACCAGGCTCTTGTAATATAAATATTTACAAATATTATTATAATAACTTAATTAAGTTTTAAGTCCCTTATAAATTTGGATATTTTTAATTGATCCCTATTAAATATTTTTTTTATATTGAGTACTCAATTTTAGATTTTTGAATTGAGTCCCTTCAATTTAATTTTTCCGTTACCTGAGTGGCGCGTAACTGTTATCTTGTCCGTCATCTTGCTTGTTTGTATCCATGTGTTAAGAAATGTAACGTTTGTGTTTAATATAAAAGGATATTGCTCTTAATGTAAAACTATAAGTGACTTTTTGTTGTTTTTATTGAGAATGTGTTGGATAACAAGATCGTCATGCTCCTGTATTCTTCTACATCATCATTACCTACATTGACCAAGGGTTGATTGTCATCTCTACCATAATGTAGATGAGACAATAGTCCCTTGTTATCTAACATATTTTAAATGAAAGCAATAAAAGTCACTTGTCATTTTTACATTAACAGTGATATCTTAATATAAAAGCTCACATTTCTTGACACATAGAGACAAGCAAGCAAAATGACGGGGCAAATTGTTATCCACATCACTCAATTAACAAAAAATTAACGACAGACTCGATTGAAAAATTTAGAAATTTTGAGTAATCAATAATAGACAAAATACAATTAATAGACTCAATTGAAAATATCCAATTTGTGAAAGACTAGAAACTTAATGAAGCCTATTATAATTTATGAAGAACTTCTTTTGATGCAAGGCCTAATTGTTTCTAAAATGGCAGAAGTACCAATATTGCATGGGATTGGATACAGGTATCTGATGCAATACACAAATGTAATGTTTTTTTTAAATGAAGCAATGGGTATGCCAATTTATATTAAACAAAATTTGGATGTTATACTTGTTAAGAAATTAAAATGAAATTTATTGTTGTACGAATCTTATCCCATCACAAGTTCCATTGGCACTTCCCCTACATGTTCCTGGGTAATTATTTTGAGATTGGCCCACACTTTTACCATAGTGGACAAAGAAAGAAAGATATACCACAAATGTGAATGCCATTCTATTAGAGTATTGTTATCTACATCAGATAAGTATGTGATTATATATGCCAACATGTGGGAGTATCCTTGCATCATTGAAAGGTTTATCCATTAGAGGGACATCATAATTAGTAATTTATTATAGCCTCACAGATATAAGATGAATGATTGAAAATATGTTCACTGGGATATCCTAACTGCAAAAGGGTTTTCACCATCTCTAATATCAGACTCGCTGAATATTTTCTTTCTGAATCTTGTTTATTGGAACTAATTTGTACATGTCATACAAGCTTGATGATCTGCATGAGATTGATGGATCTCATAAAAGTCACATTATTTTTCTTAAATGATTTATTTGAATCTTGTAGAAAACTTTCAAGCAAGGGATATTTGTGCTGATGCCAAAGAAACTTGCTATAACTGGTTTAGCAAAATTGGTGCTGTGCAAGAGCTTCTTCCACGCATGTGAAGACCTTATCTTTGTCCTGTATTTAATTATTCCTTACGTTTTTCCACTAAAGTTATTTGTCTTCTCTTTCAGCTTATGTTGGTTTGAAACTTTCTGATGCCATGTTTACCTTTAGTTTCTTCATAATCACAGTTATAATTTTCTACGAATTCACTTTGAAAGACACATTGCTGTGATCTCTCTAAATTCACAGCCATCTATAATTATATTTCCATAATCTCAAAGCTAAGCCTAAATCCACTTCAACAAAGAAAATCACCTTGTTACAACTAGGCTACAAAAATTATATTTTTGGATGAAGCACAGCCTTGTTATATGTAAAAACCATTCGTCCATGGGCCTTGGCCTAGGTGCCTAACTGCTTATGCTTTTAAGATAATTTGGTTCTTGATATGCTATTATATGTCTTTGATCAGGTGCTCAGTACTCTGCCCTTTAATAATTTCTCTTCCACTCGTAATTAAATTATAATTTCAGCATATGATTTTAGTAGGCTGACTGGTGGCGGTGGTTCATCCATGATTCTATACAGATAGGACTTTAGTTGGGGTGTTGTAGTGTGTCAAAAAGAAAAGCAATCAAGCCCATTAAATAGCAGCTTAAGCTTTTGTTATGATTAGGTTTCAGTTCGAAATTGAGACTACAGAAGGTAAATAGTTTTAAAATACATGAGTTTTAATAGTAAAAAGTTAGACAGGCTATGTGTAGAATATTTATGGGTTACTAGTAATATGGAGTTACCACTAGTTTGCAGATATTTGCTTTGTTGTGGGGTGACTTTAGTTGGAACCTTTTATATACTGTTAATACAGTGAAGATTAGGTTTAATGTGACAACTGTCAAACACTTTGTCTGTCAATATTGCTTGAAAATTTGCTACGGAATAGACCTTTCTTCTGAAAAGTTTGAAAGGTTTTGCTAATAACATTTGAAAGGCCGTTGCCTGGAAGAATGTTCTCTCTGACGGTGTTTTCTGAATGGATATCTGAAATTGTACTAGTTACTTGGAGCTGGCAATTTTGCCTTGCTGGTGCTTTCTGCTTGACCAACCTTTAGACAGCCTCCGGCGATTGGTAATGATGACCAGAGGATTAGGAGATCCAGTGGCATCTGCGTATTGCCGTCTTTATATGGCTCACTGTGCTCAGAAGTTACCTTCACATGATATAGGTATTTTTTTTTCTGATATTATATGTGTACCCTTAGGATGTGTAAAACATGTACACTGAAACAGAGGAGCCCTTTTATTTAACTGATAAAATAAATCTATATGTTTCCAAACATGTTTTGGTCTAACCTTTACGAATGCATATTTGCATATGCAATTGTTCATCACTATGATTCACATCGACATGTATTCCATACACCGATTCATCTCACCCTTGAAAATATAGGAGATGAAATGTTGAGATATGCTTAAAGATATATGCATATATACAGTTCACAAAATAAAACAAATATTACTATAGCTTTTTTAAAAACCATATGAAAAAATTATTAAATATTTTCTAAATGTATACATAAATAGTGAGCGAGAATTGTTTTTATCCATATTTGTTGTCACAGTGTTTTCTTTTTTTATTTATGTGTAACTCAGATCAAATCCTGAAAATGGTTTCATGGAATAAATCATAAAAATTATATATTTTATGTTTGTTTAATGTTTGGAATAATATAAAAAATAAAAACAATGATAGTTAAACACTAAAAAGAAAAAAATGGCTATAGGAAAAAATTGTGACTGTTATATATATTAGTTGAATGTTATATCGGACTCTAGTTTAGGAAAATCGGGTAGGGTTGTGTTGTCTTATACAACATGGATAATAAAGTCTTACCCAAAGGACAATGCAAATTCATAAAACATGATTGTTAGCTGTACACCAATAAGCAATAGTGTTAGCTTCATAGCACTTTTTCTTATCATTTTTAACAGCTGACTGACACTTACGTATCCAAAAGTATTCTTGTTAGATATGTCCTACATAGGGATGCGCAGGCCTGATCCATGTATCAGTGCATCACAGGTTCATCATAATGCTCTAACACCCCTACAAACGGCAATTCAAGACCTAGTTGTGAAATATTATATACTCTTTAGTGCCAGTACAGTTACTAATACTTTGGTTTAGAGTTTTTTGTATTTCTTTCAAAAATTTCCAAATTTAGAAAGCTATAGAGAATTTGAAAAGTCAGCTGATAAAGACATTATTTACCAGTTATTCAGATAAAACAGAAACAATTAATCTAGATGACTGCTTCACATACTTTCTCTTATATGAAATTTTGTGCTCTATAGCAGTGCTTATTTGCCTCTAATAAATTTCTCTTGTTCTTTCTCCCAAATTGGATGAAAAGGACGCTGAGTTTGCTCGTTCTGAATTTAATGTATCTGATTCCTGCAACATACTTCTTTCTTGTGTTTATTTTCATAAAACTTATTTCATACGTTGTGCAACTGAAACAGGCTATCTTATTACATGTATGAATGACATCAGAGTTATTTTAATGCAAATCTTGTCAGCCAATGAAAGATCTCATAAAAATGTTGAAGTCAACAAAAAATTGCAAGTGAGTTTGATGGAACCAACCATTGAGTATATTATGAAGTGTGTATTTAATGGGTTGACTCAGGTACGTAATGAAGTTTCTCTTCACAAGTATACTTGTTATGGGCGATATTATATATAATATGATCATGTTTCCACATATCTTGGTTATGTGAAAGTGTATAATTGAAATTTCATTGATTGGTTGGTATCTTTGCTCTTCTATTGTGATTTTTACATGAACATTTCAAGTGAGTGGAAATGAAGGTTGGGTAAGCACATATAGTAAGCTAAATGGTTGTGGGTTTTGTGATTATAATATTGAAAAGTCAAGTTTTATTATGTCATCTATATACTGCATCAGACAGTAGAAAAAAGAAAGTCAGATATTTCTTTTCTGCTTGTCTTCCTTCTATATCCTGTGTTTTATGCTGATCTAAGTATGTCTTTGCTGAAGAGACAAGCCAATGAAGTTCTGTCAGAGCTTGGATTGATGAAGAATCAGCAGGATTTGGGTAGTGTTTCATGTGTTTCAATCATTCTTCATCATTTACTGAAGGAGCTCCCTATTGAAGTAGTTAGTACCAACGTTGTGCAGATCCTTCATCTCATTGAATTTAGCAAGGATAATTCTTTTGGTCAGGTAAGTTTTTTGCAATTTCTATGATCCCTTGAATTTAACAGTATCTTTGTTTTCGTTTTTCCAATTTGCAGTTTTATTGTTTTCTTTTTGGTGATACAGCATTTGAATTACAGACTGCTTGGATTCAGGCTGTATGAAAGAAAATCCCCTGTTCATATTGTCAATACTGTGTTAGATAAAGTTATCCAGGTATATATAGAATTATAATCCACCTTGCATCATTTCAGAGTTACATTCTCAATGGTGTATATTCCTTTTAATCTCCACCCTTGGTCTATTACACCTTGAGAGGGAAACTTTATTATTTTAGTTTCTTTCATTAATACATTATCTTCTCCATCCCTCTTCCTCTTAATTTTACCAAACAGATATAGGAGGAGGAAGTGTATATCTTATGATAGGGAATCTCCTCAAAACAGAAAAACATAAATGATAAACAAATCAGAGAGTAAACATCTCAAATAGATTTTATAACTGTTATTTGGTTGAGTAGACTTTATATGGTATCAAAGGTGTGTCATCTCTTATTATGTCAAATATTATAGACTTTAGAGTGCAAGGAAAGAATAGAAAAAGGTAAGAGATGGGCCACACTTGGTGTGTCTTTGTATTTGTTGTTTTTTATTGCTTGCTTCTTCTACGAGAATGTATTATTGCTAGGTCTTGCACTCTTTTCTTCAACATATTCTCTTCTCCAATAATTCTTGAGTGCAATGTAACCAAAACAAGTATAGAAGGAGGAAGTATATGCTGAAGATATAGAATTGTCTTAAATGTGCAAAATATAAACGATGAAAGAAGAAAAAAAACTCTTTTTTTATAAAAACCCAGAAAAATTACGTATGTGTACATCTATCTACTATCTAATCTTTGCATGTTTAATGAAGATAATCCTTGACCTTTTCTTGTAAAATAACTACAGAACAGCAGGACTAGTTGAAATATTTATTGAAACACAAAGACACTTGAACTCCATACTACTGCAATGTTATTATCGTCCAAGAGACTTCTAAAGAGAACATCTCTGTTCTGGAACTTACGAATACAACACCACCATAAATGTTCCCATTCCATAATACTAAATTAAGCATTACAAAGTAAAAATGCTATATGCCATAACTGCTATTAACCTCAAATCGTACTACCCACTCACTTTGACCAAATCACATACTGCAGGGCATAATTGCCATTTGGTACACTACCCTCTTCTGGAATAAACATTTCAAATTGAAGGTCTTGGAGATGTGTCTCCATCAAATGACACACGAAATGTAAAAGCATGTATAAACTTTTGGTTGAGCCACATCATATTCTACATCTATTTCTCTGCTCTGTATTCTTGGTATGTGTTTCCTTATTGGTTAGGTAACTATACATGAGAATAGGAGGCTTAGGGTAAGTCATTAACATCCGTTTCCTAGCTGTTGAAAATTGTTTGGTCAGATGTAATTATTATTAGGGGAAAAACATGTAAAATTTAATATGGAGCCTGTTTTTATTTGGTTCTCCAAATTTAGAAACAATATATTTGATTCCTATAAAAACGAAATGACAATCATCTCCTTCAAAAGAAAGAAAAAAATAATGAAAAGGGGAGAGAGAGGAGAAGGGCAAGAGCCGCAAATATACAGAAGTGGATACCATTGTCCCTAGAGAGTTGGGCATTGTTTGTTTAAGGAGTTGATGGTTGATGAGAGGTATTTGGTCTTGGGCACTCAAACATGACTTGGCAGTTCTATCAGTGTAAGGCAAACAGGTGATAATTCACTGTTTAAGCTGCCAGTTAATCAAGAAGGAAACCGTTATAGAAGGCTGTGGAGACTATGGGCCATGATTTAGATACTTCTCCGCAAAACATATAGACACGCTACAAACCCAGTTAATGGGTTAACTTCATTTTGATTTAGATATCCATTGGTCTGGGTAGTATCCTAAACCGGAAATAGTTTGTAATGTTTTTCAAGAATTTATAAATTGAAATTTGATCCTCCTTTTTCCCAACGTCAATGTAATGAGAAGAAAGTTCAAACAACTAAAGAACAACTTACCATAAAAGATGATGCAATGCAATTGCAAGCTTCAAGTGCCATAATTCCTCGAGCAGCCTATATTTTAGCACAATAAACCGGTATTTATAATTGGTTAAATAAATCAAACAACAAATTAGATAAAATGATGATACCTGGGAAGGTTCCTGTTGAACAGCACTAAGCAGGTTCTCAAGAACCGAGCTTAGACAAAGAAACAAGTTCTGGTTTTGAAGATGAATCCCCATAGTATAACATGTCATTGCCTGGAGTCTGGAAAGAAAAAAATTATATTACTCTGACGCTTTAGATACATAAACCATAAACCACTAACTTGTCAGGAACCGTGATTTACAAAAATAGTGTCAGTAAGATAAAAACAGGTGAAACTAAAGAAAATCTTGGAAAAACTGATTATAAGAACTAACATCTGAAACTAGGAATTATGACTTCTACAGACTATCTTAATTTCAATGATGAGTGGATATAATACTATAGTCTCACCTCTCCACCTCTAAGTTCCTGCAGGCCGTGCTAAAGGAAAAGAAAATGCTCCAAGTGGTAAGATGTGATTAAGTATATATTAATAACTGGGGAAGATGAATTCATAGGCAGACAAGGACAATATGATCTTTGCTGCTAAGACAGCAAGCACTGCAAGGTTGATTCAACTAAAACCGGCTGAGAATATCGTATTGCATAAGCTTAACCTTAGACATTATACGTCTGGAGCTATGTTTGACCACCAAATGACACTTAAATCCATCACTTTGGACACAAAACAGAAGTAAGACTTCTCTAAATACTCTTTTAACTTCAATTTGTTTTATCCATCTTGGAATGAAAGAGCAAATGATATGTTATCTTTATTCCATAAATGGAATTGAAAATTTCCTTTTAATAGCAAAGCAAAATAAGGAGATGCAAGCTTTAACCTTATTACCTGTGTATTTGCATGATATGGCAATTATCTTTGTGATTTGAGTTGTCATAATAATATGATAGCTTGAAAAAAATCTGGCGTCCTCATTTTTGGTTCAAACTGCAAGGGTTGTCAATTTCAATTCATTCATCAAAACAAGGACACAGAAAGGGAAAAAGAGGAGAGGTTTAAATAATAAGGAGAAGTATTCTTCAAAGGAGGGGGCAGAAGATTTTCAATCATTATATATCCCAAAGAAAACTTTTACAAAGATCGGGAGCTGATTAATGTGAAAAGTTATGTGGGAAACTAGGTGGACTGGAGACTTAATGTACCTTCAGTAACGTATAACGAAATTCATAGTAAATACATGCATACAAAGAAGAGGAAAAAAGGGAACTAGATCTCTAACCCAGTACATTTACTTTTCTATTACAATTTTAATGGCGGGGGACATCCCAAACGAGAGATTTTAAAGTGTCTATCATGAATGTGAAAAACTTAAATAATTTTTACAACCTGGAACCATGATTAAGAAGCCACACAACTTTCTAATAGATGAAACTAGTCCTTCAACATCAGTTGGAGTTCGGAAAGCCTACAAAATCAAGCAAATCAACAGTCAATCAGATTTAATTCTAAGAAGTCATGAGACAGACAAGAAAATCAGTCTTAGATAGAAGCCATGGTGGCACAATTAATGTATTCTTTTACATGTTATTGGAGACTCATCTGTATAATATATAAATTTCCACATTAGCTTCTAAGCTATATGTTATAAGAAGCCTTGGTCAGATTTTGGGCCTTTGAAAGATTTACAAAATTCATAAATGCATTAAAATCATTAATATACAACAAAGGGATAAAATAGAGAAATAAAGCTGTTTAAATTATTGCCTCAAATCATTAGATATTTGACAAAAGGGACAAAAGTGGACATTTTAGAAAGTTCATAAATGGCCTCAAATAATCAGATATTCAACAAAGGGGATAAAAGAGGAAAAAATAGGCCAAAATTATTGGGCTTTCTTCTCCAACACAATTGACTGAATTGAGTTATCAAAATGTAGAATAAATTATAGTTTGAATGTCAGATACTTGTTCAGAAAAGTTTTAAGCACCACTGTTTCATCATTGAACACAAAATTAGCATTGAATAAATTCCACAAAATAGACATGCCACAGATAACAAATTACATGCATTCAATTTTGAAGTATTGTTCTTAATACTTCCACAATGAGTGAGCAACTAATATAGAGTTTACATATCAACTAACCATCAATTAATGTCTAAGGTATGCAAACATGTGATCGCTGAATCAATTAACCATCTGATGAGAAACCAAATCCCCAAGTAATGCAACCTGAAAAATTAAATTATGAATCCTTTGAAAATATAAAAGTAGCAAGTATACAAGAATTTTGACTGTGCCAAAAACTGGCCATACCTCCACCTCTGCAGTTTCTAGACAAAGATCAAATTGCCTGTGAGCAGAGACAGAAGGTATTGTGACTTCACTTAAAAAAATGGTAACACATTCCTGAAAAACTCAGATGTTTCTTGGCAATTTCAAAGCTTGAAATTGCTAAAGAATTCCAGAGTGAACAGATTTCCTGCAAGAAAGTATGATACTTTATCACTGTGTTTTACGAGGTTTTTTTTGGCCAACAACGAAGGAAAAAACAAGGACAACCTTAAGTTTCATTGACTATCTACCAAACCTCCTCGACAATAACAAAAAAGCTAAATGCTGTTCCATCTCTGCTCCTAATCTCCTAGTAAATAGAGGCAGTTAAGAGTCAACTAATCAATCATGAAAAAAATAATTATCACTAAACTAAAGAAAGAGTCATAGACCCAAATAATATCAAAAGGATCGTGTTACATGAGCACAAACAGATATTGAACGTGGCCATTTGGCCATCATCATCTTTCACATTCATAAACTCTATATTATCATGTAGTGTCTGAGCAATTTCAAAAAGCAACTGTATGCTTGTCGGATCAACTAATGTGATATTCCTGTTTGACAAACTTATAACAGATTGTCAAATACTGGCATAAAACTAGTTTCATTTCACTTCACCTATAGCAAGAAAATTTTGGTATAGTTGGTTGATCACATAATATCAAACCCTCCAACCAAGACGTCTACAATTTGATTCTTGGCACACCAATTCTTCTAATAAAACAAAATGCTTGTTATAAATGGTACCTTGTACCATATTAAGGAATGTGCAGAAAGACAACATTCCTGTGACTTGCCATATACATCTAGATTTCAGGAAAACTGAACCTACAAAATAATACAACAAAAACCAAATCATAACTAGTACTTATATCAGCATGTAATGAAGAAATGAATGACGGAGACAAATACACAGAAAGATGATTAGGTACAAGATTATTATTGGAACCTTACCAGGAGAAAAAAACATCTTCCAGATGCTTAAAATGAGACAGAAGCTTCAAAATGAGAGATTGCAAGCTTAATATTTCATCCTCTGTAACTCTTTTATTCAAAGCTCGATTTGAAATGCCTTCCCAAAATGGCATTCCAATGTTATTCTGGAATAATGGGTTGCATTTAGAGGAAAGATCACAAAAGAAGTATAAAATAATAGTCATTTGAAAGTGAAAGGTACATATATATAATCATACAAACCTTTGTAATTGGATAGCACTTAATCCATCAAGGAATAGAGTTTAAATCTCAATGTTTTCTATGGATTTTCTTTAAATTATAATATAGATGTTTGGCTCACGATTGTCCACTTAAAGAACATACTAAGACATATCAATAGATAGAAAGAAAGAATGCAAATAAAGGGGAATAGTATATCGTCCTTGCACAAAGGAGTTGCAAACTTACTCCAGAATTTAGAATTGATCTTTTGTTACTTCTGGGGAATTTGTTTGCATTCTTAGCTGCTTATCATTTCAGCTCCATAGGAAATGAAGACAATTACTATTGGTAATTCAATAAGACCTTTGCGATTCTTATCTTGTCTCATCATTCTCTCGTAATTTCCACCTCCTTTCAACGGCTAAATTTCATTCAGCACTAAAAAATCAAATTTAGTAACTGACAACATCCATCTCCATTTTGAAGGACCATGTTCAATCTCAGAGATAGGCATTAAGAAAGTTGTATATTAAAAACTATGAAGCCCCAGATTGACCAAACTGGAACTACTGGGAAGCGAGACGTTGACTTAAGCAAGACCCTTTGAGAGACATCTGTAAAGCAATTTGATTGTGAGGTTGACAAAGGAAATAATGACAAATGGTATCTTAAAAAATTTATTACTAAGAACAAGGAATATGATATATAACAATAGTTCTTTCCTTCAATTCTTCTTTTCAGTTTATATTCCTGTATCAAATTTACATTATAAAAAACTGATAACTAAATATCTAAACCTTCAAAATTTAATATTTTGAAACAGTCATAGGAAAAAAAAGTGATTACTAAGCTTGCCTAAATAAGCCCAAATCATCTA